GGAAAAGGGTAGGTTTGTATTATAGATTTATATGTATGATTTTTTAAGGAGGTGCCCGGTGATACCCCAACTGCACAAGACGGGATGGTTGAGTGAGGAAGGGAAGTAGGAAAGAGGGAGGAAGGAGGAGTGGTGGTAGAATGGGAGGAGGAAGGAGTGGTAAGTGGAAGAGGGTGGTGCAGGAGGGGGACACCGGACATGTCCGTGAATGTTTTGTTTAGTTTTATTCTTTTTGGTTGATATTATGATAAAAGATTTATGTTTCTGTTTTTTAAATGAAAAATTAATAAAAATTTATTTTTTTTAAAAAAAAATAATAAAATGCAGCACTGATGTAAATTCAAATTAACTTCATAATGAGTGGAAATATTGCCCATAGCAACTGTCCATTCATAACTAATTGCTGTGTATTTAATGATAATTGTTTTGATCTATTACAGTCTTTAAAAGTTCTAGATAGCTTCAGTGCTACCTAAGACACTGCCTTTCCCATTTTGGTTAAGATCTGCAGGAAAGCCTTTTGAGATACCATCACTCAACAGAGGCTCATTTGTTAGCTTTGTAATCATTCTGGAATTATGGAATGCTTTCACTTCAGAACTAAGGAAAAGGATTTGAAAAGGAATTTTAAATTCGCACCATTTTGTGATTTGGCCTTTAGAAGTTTTTATATTTTAATTCTTCAATATGCTTTTTATTTTTACATGAGTTTCCGTTATTGGTATGATTATAATTATTGTTCACTACTTAGGTAATGTTTGGTGGTACAGAAATGTCATTTCCTATTTTGAAGAAAAGCACTAAGGGACCACTTGGTCATTAATTCTACTCCTTTTGGGAATACAAGTGAAGCAAGCAATACATGCATACAGTACGCACCCTGGAAAAGTCCTTGAATCACCATGAGAAATGTTTTTGGGAAAATAGCTTCTTTGATGGTTTGAGGATATACTCTTTGAATGTTGTGCATTGTTTTATTGATGATACTGACTGTAAATACTATTCTTAAAAACAGGACAATTGAATTCATAACATAGAAATTTCTTGAAGATCAAATTATCCAGATACAAAATTGGCTTTATGTATTAATTCTGTTGCTTATTAGCTCATCCACCCCAGCTTCCTCATTAAGACACACAAATGAAATATATTATGAATCAGCAACATAACAGCTACTAGAATAAATTAATTTGCTAATGGGGTAATGACAGGAAGTTGTGTAAATGAAAGCACCTACTGCTATGTATTAGGATACTATAGATAGTCAATGTTTAGCAACCACAATAGGGACCAGTAACTCGGTCGTTAAGCAAAGCAGTTGCTTATTGAAATCTCAACTATGCTTTTCTTACTTCAGTTTTCCTTTGCTTTACAGACTTGCAAAGGCATAAATATGAAGGTTCTAAAGATACTTTTTCATCACCACCATAAGTGAACAGTAGATAAACAAGGCTGTAGCTAAATGAGAACTGTCTAATCATTCCTTTCTCTTATTTTTCACAGTGGACTTTAAAAGCTTACTTAGTGTCCACAAAAAGCGGTAGCTAAGATTTTTGGAGTGTTTTGGCTTCAACCAATGTGCTATCAAGCAAGGGAAGAAGAGTAACTAGTGTAATAAGAATATTAAACAACTTCTAAACATACACAGGTAGATCCTATGGAAGCTGGGTAACCTCAAGCCCTAGCAGTAGTATTAGCTTTGAACCATGTAAATCAACAATCCTTAACTTAATATTAGTATCTCATAAATATACATTCTTACTCTGCAGTTTATATCTTCATTTGGTTTTTTTCCCCCTAGCACAGCAGTGTCAAACTCGCAACCTCATATGACGTGTCGCGACGTATCGTGACTTTTTTGCCATGGCCGGCAATGGGGTAGGCGTGGTTTCGCTATGATGCATCCGGCCCGCGGGCCAGCAGTTTGACACCCCTGCCCTAGTAGGACAAATGGCATGAGTTAATCTCACTTATAGAGGTTTAAAATGTAGAATATCCAATTTCAGAAGAGTTCACAGATATTCATGCCTTAAATGTTCATGTGATGATATAGAAGCTAGAAGATTTTTGGTGCAGAAGTCTTATTTGAATTTTTGAGGTATACTTTTATAACAACTTCCTCATAAACGAGCAAGTAGTTAAACTTCCAAATAAAACACTTGACTGCCACCATCTGCCCATTTTTATATTTTAAGAATGCCTACAGCTGTAGAGTATACATGTGACCAAAAGGTCCCATATCTTGGGCATAATTATTTTGGAATTTAGACTTTGCTTTAAAACATAACAGCTTCCTCTCTATGTAATATAAATTTAGATTTATTTTCTTTATTTTAACCCAAGCCTTTAATTTATTTTGCTTGCTACTTCTCACACATTTTCTGCAATTTTGGATAAAGTTGCTTAAACCAAAAAAGAATTATGTGATGGGTATGTATATGGGCATTTAATTAAAAGAATTTTAAAATATTAAATGTGGGTAGGATACTTGGCAAGTGCCAAGATAGATATCTGAGGGTAAATAAATGGTAAGGGACACTAAGTTGATTGCAGAGTTAAACCCATCAAAGATAATGCCAGGTAACAATGAACATTCAATCGTGGCCCTTAAATTGTTTTATCTACTGAAATTTGCAATATTCAATAATGGGCATGCAAGTTAAATCTATGTTTAGATAGGGATCTTAGTTTTGATGACCTTCAGGTACCTGAAAGGGTAATAGACTCTAATCCCATTAACAACACTTGTTTCACTATAATTTGCTAAAATTTCCTAAATTCAAGAAATAAAAAAAAACACATTTTACATAGTATGTAGTCATAGAGAATTAAGATATATAGCCATGTCATTTTAACATATTTTTTTAAAGAAAATATAATACACACTGAAAGGAGAAATAGTACAATAAGTTGTGAAAGGTTTTTATTTTTCAGCTTTCAAAATGTATGCCTGAAGGTGTAAAGCATTGGAAATGTTACCGTTTTCTCAAAACTTATGTGTAAATTTCTTTTTACAAAGAAATATAAAATGTATAGAAGATGCTGAAACATGTATCATTTCAAGATTTGTTTTACTTCTAGGCAGCATCTTGAAAAACATTTAAAAATAAAAACCATAGACTCTGTAAAATACAAAAATTTACATTTCTGCACAGTTTCTGTGCTTTAGATTTACTGATTTCATTATATAAATATACACTAACTTGTGTTTTACAGGACAATTTTAGTATAAACTTACACAACTAGGGTATGAAATAAGTATGCAAATAAAATTTGGGGACAACAAAATTAAATTCAAATTTAGAAACCCTATAGTTTTAATAGCTACACATCAGAGTAGGTGCATCAGTATTTTTTTAACTGAATGAATTCTATACTACTGAACATGAATAGTATCTATTTTTTCAACCTTTATCGTGTCTTTTTTTTAAAAAAAAATCTATGCATAACACAGTAATATTCATTTTCAAGATATTTTTGGAAGTATTTTCTGTTCTTCATTTCCAGTTTTCATCTAAAACATCAATCTTCTTTCAATTTCTAGCAATTGGATAAAAATGAATATTCAATATACTGGTATTCCATTATAGTGAATATTTAACTTTTTTCATTAAACTTCAGAAAATAAGATTTTAGGTCCTTAATTACCATGTGCAAAGAGTTATACCAATTTTTATACAATAAAAATGCAAAATAAAAGCCATCTAATAATTGCAACAGTGCCTATAGAAGAAATCTATCTAGTCTTCACAGTAGCCAAAATAATTACCAAACATTGTATTAATATTATATTTTTATTAAAAGACAGTCATGGAGCCTTAAGGCATTTCCTTCTATTTTTAATTTAAAAATATCAATGTGTGATTTTGTAAATTAACTACATGCAACAATGTAAAGATTTTAACATTAAGACTGTAAATACACTGGTTTATAAATATGGTGCTTTGGAAGTACCTAATACCTTAATAATTTGATGTATCACACATTTAGAAGTTTTTGAAAATTTCTAAATCTTTAGGAGGTACTGGTGGTATTTTGTTCCAATCATCTTCAGGGTAAGCTTCAAAATTAGATGTATCACCATCATTTGATACTTTCGGCACTATAGGAGGCTGAATGAAACAATAATATAAGTTTTAAGTAAATAAATATAATCTCATGTGAAGATTAAAAATTATATTTTATCCTACTTTTTTGAGATTCTATGGCACAGCTGTCAACAGCATCTGGGATGAGTTTAAGTTATCTAAGAATATTATTGCTTGCTCTGAGTTATAGAACTGTAGATCTTGACCCCTTCCAGTTAAGTTTCACACCCAAGTGTGAGATGGAACTGCTTGTTCTTATGGATGACTTCAAGGAAGTTCAAATATTAGAAGTCTACAGAGTTTTTAATACCATACCATCAAACATGGTATTTAACTGCACCACTTGTTAAAGTTGGAAGAAGGAAACACTGTTCTGCAATAGTTCCATTCCTCCTTGATTGGACAGTTCCAAGTGGTGGCCATAAGGAGAAGAGTATTTCAACTTGGCCATTCATTTGTGGGCTGTCCTCTTTACACATATTGTTCGGCTTCTACAGAAAACTGCTGAGAGGAATCAGCTTTCACTTTGAGTTAAGATACCATTAGTGTGCTAATGATTGTTATACTTTTGAAGCTTGAAAGCAGCAAATACAATCCAACAGCGATCATGCAATCCATTTTAATATTTAGGAAAGAGGAAAAAATCCTGATCTTTCCCATCATAAATTAGGTCCAAAAACTATGGATTTAATATAAAAGCTTGGACTTGCTGGCTATCATTAGGCACAGTAATTATGTCAAGCCCCATGGGCTCGACATTCATGGGAGGGGGGAGGGAGAAGGCGCTGATGCCAGCCGCACCGAACCCCGCAGCTTGACTCCAGCGATGCCACCAGACAGGGAGGCCTCGCAGCCCAGGACTGGCATCTCTGAACAGCTGGGCAGCCGCACAGCTCGGCCCTAGGAACACCGGCAAGGAACGCTTCCAGACAGCTGGGCGACCTTGCGGCTCGGGCCCGGCGACGCCGACAAGGAATGCCGCCAAACAGCTGGACGGCCTTGTGGCTCGGAACCGGCGCCGCCGATCAGTTGAGCGGCATTGTGGTGCCGGTTAGACGTCGCTAACTCTAGACTGATTGCTGCAGTGCTCAGGAGGGGGAGGGGGGTCCTACCTCTGCTGTGGAGAGGCTCTGACGACCCGCTGCGTGGCACGGAAACCGGCAGCAACCGGCAGCAACCGGCAGGGACTAAACGGTGGCCCAGGGGGGTGATAGGGCCTTGCGGTGCTGCCTTTAGGCACAGGCACTGGATGCTGGCTTGCTGACTGGGGGGGTGGAGCTGCGGGGAGGGAATGTATATAAAGCACTGGGAGTAGATCACTCCCAGCACTGACTTTCTATCAGCGTCCTTACCAGTCCCTGGTTCCCACAGACGCAAAAAGAGGATGACAAGGTGACTGGCAAACAGGAACGGTCTGACAAGTGGTTTATTCTTCTCCAAGCAGGCCCACTTTGTCCCATACAAGGGGTTGCCATCCGCTCGGAAGCTGGCCAAACTGTTTATCATGCAGGTATATCGCCTGCACGGGGTGCCCCGACGGATCATCCCAGATTGGGGGGGATGCAGTTCACGGCCCGTTTTTGGTGTGAGTTTATCCATTCTATCAGGTCGTCCCAAGGACTCAGCTCGGCTTATCACCCCAACACCAATGGGGCGGTGGAACGGGCAAATGTGATGGTGGAGCGATACTTACGGAGCTATGTCTCATACCAACAGATGAACTGGGTTGACCTATTGCCATTCGCGGAAGTGGCATACAACAATGCGGTGCACAGCAGCACCGGTTTTGTCCCCTTCCGGGTGGTGCACGGCCTTGACTTTGTCCCAATACCCGAGTATTCACAAGGGGACCCCTAACCCCAGGATTGGATAACTCTCATGGGGGGGGCATGGCGAAATGTGAAGAAGGCCTTAGTAAAGGCCGAGGAGGCCGCAAAAGCGCAGGCGGATAAGAATAAAAGGCCCCAAAAGCCTTTTCGGGTGGGTGACCTGGTGTACCTCTCAACAAAGTAGCTACGCTTGAGGGTGCCCTGTAAGAAGTTGAGTCCAAAATACCTAGGGCTGTTCCAGGTCACACAGGTTATCAATCCAGTAGCTGTATGGCTACAGCTACCCCAGTTCCTGGGGAAGATACACTCGGTCTTCCACTGTAGCCTACTGAAACTGGTAGAGGGTTCCTCCTATAGGCCCGTGAAAGGGGTACCAGGGCCTGTCACCAGGGACCATTACGAAATACACTAAATCCTGGACTCCCGGATCCGACGGGGATGGCTACAGTACCTGGTGTGGTGGACGGGGTACCCTATTACAGAGGCATCCTGGGTGGGGAAAGTGGATGTCCATGCTCCTCTCTTGTTGCAGAGGTTCCATCGACAGTGTCCCAGTAAGCCAGGAGGGCAGTCGGCTGAACCGGCCACCACAGCGGGTGAATGCTTACATGTTTCTCCTTGCCTTCCCGGTGGAGCCCTGGTAGAGGGAGACGCCTGTCAAGCCTCGTGGGCTCGGCATTCACGGGAGGGGGGAGGGAGAAGGCACTGACGCCAGCCGCACTGAACCCTGCAGCTCAACTCCAGCGATGACGCCAGACAGGGAGGCCTCATAGCCCAGGACTGGCACCACCAAACAGCTGTGCAGCCCGGTTCTAGGAACGCCGGCAAGGAACACTTCCAAACAGCTGGATGACCTTGCGGCTCGGATCCAGCGATGCCGACAAGGAACGCTGCCAAACAGCTGGGTGGCCTCGTGGCTCAGAACCGGATGCTGGCTTGCTGACTGGGGGGTGGAGCTGCGGGAAGGGAATGTATATAAAGCGCTGGGAGTAGATCACTCCCAGCGCTGACTTTGCTTGTTGGAATAAACCGCTTGTCAGACCGTTCCTATTTGCCAGTCACCTTGTCATCCTCTTTTTGCGTCTGTGGGAACCAGGGACTGGTAAGGATGCTGATAAATTAGTTAACTACAACTGCATGTTGTAATTAATAATGAAATAGTTAAGTAGTGATGTGCCACACAGTGATTGCATTCTTCTCCTGGCTTCTTCCACCTATCTGTAATTTGGTAATTGAACATATCATCTATATGCAATGTGAACATGTTATTTCCAGCTGCAGCAAATTATAGGATGAAACTATGATTCATGGTATTCTAATTTCAGGTGTAGCAATACCCTAAAAATAGACTCCATTCTGCATTTGGACAAATTATTCACCCATGAATGGGTAGTTTGGAAGCTGTGCCTTTTGGCTGTTCAAAAGAAAAACCTGCACATGAAGTGCAAATGTACTTGGGACAAAGACCCAGGTAAACATTTTATCTTCAAGTATGAGATATAAAAAGGCCACATTAGGTCTTTCACATAGATTTTTAAATACAAACTCCTCTGTAATAATTCAATACAGTAAATATTTCTTGAATGTATATCTTCCCAAGCAGAATCTGTTTTCATGATACTTCACCTTTAATTTTCTCTGTGGTACAGCATCCCAGTCTATACACCTGAACCATCGGTGTCTCTTTATATCATCAGCTCCATTCTTTGGAAAAACAAAAGTTTATTTAATACAAGTTCCTAAAAATATTGTGGCATAAAGTCTATATACTGAAATCAACACTGATTTCTACAATCTGTAGTCTGAAGACATATGTCTAATGCACACTGTTCAAGTTGATCAATTTTTTCTGGTATTGAAAAAAATACTGGATTTCCAGGAACTTCTGTAGACAGTATAAATATCAACATTGTCAAGATGGAAAATAGAATGTTGTGATGCAAGTACCTCATCCGCTTTGTATACACATCAGTAGTCAAAAGGAACAGGGCTTGCATCACAATGCTTGTCTACTATATTGCCAATTTTGATCCTTTTTTAAGCAGATATCATATTAAATAAAACAGGCCCCTCAACAATGACCACATTCCAATTTTAGGTGTCATTGTTAGTGGTAAAGTGATATCTTACACATAGAGAATACAGTTCTTCCTCCATCTATTTGGAGTACCAGATACCTGTCCCAATTTTGTAATTAGAAATGGATTCTATGTCATATTTCACAATGAGTTCACATTTCACATAAATCACATTATGTGACCTTATCTACTTGAATTTTTCTTGGGTCCAGAACCAAATGTACTGGATAAAAAAAATATAGTGGGACATAAATCTGTCCTTAGGATTTACAGATTTACATGCTATCTAATCTCTTTAGATAACAAATAATGAGCTAATGTGATTTTTGTATTGCTTATACAAAGGAGATTTGCAAGCTTCCATGCTCAGTAATGATACAAAGTTACTATACTGTAATGGAGCATGACTTAAGTATTTCAATTAAGCTTGCAGTTATTTTGTGCTATGTTTTATCCATATTGATTATATCTAAATATAAGAATCAAGGCTTAAGGCAAAGGGATTACATGGCTAAAATCCATAGTATTAATATTAAAATTTAGTTTTTCTGATTGCCTATGTAGTATACATTAAAAAAGTTAGTTGAAGAAAAGAAAGGAGAAAAAACTGACTAGAAATTTCAAGGTTGCTACATGCCTCTGTCCCATGAAAATTTGATAATTTATTTCAATTTTATATTTAAGTGAAAACATCACATAGTTAGATGGTTGTCAAATACAAAACAGTAATTCACTGGTTCAGAGTCTTGTAGTTTTTCTATAATGAAAACACGATCTTCCTCCCACACCGTGTCTTCTTAATTTGAAATTTGTTCTTGAGTATAGAAATGTTTTCTTAATGAACTGAGGTAGTGGAAGCATACCTTCATGTTTCCTAGTCGTCTTGTTCTGTCAACCACAAGAAGCTTTTTAATAAGATCCCTGGACAAACAAGGAAAGATTATTTTTTTAAAAAATATATATACAAGTTTGTATGGTTACCTTTTCACTGAAGGAATTATACCTTAGAATATTTCTAGTACTGAGCTGACCAGTAATAACTCTGAGAAGGTAGGAGGAAATAAATCCATCTACTTCTGGTAGAAACTTAAACTGAGCAAACTATGTGTGAAGAATAATATGTCTTATAAGCTATAAGGTCTGATTAAATGGACCTTTAAAACTCATAGACACATATCTGTAGATGTGTTAATATATAATCTTTTTTCTAGACAAGACTTTCATTTTGTTAAATCTTTGCTAATGTTCTTTTAAATGATTATAAAGTTAAGCAAAAAAGTAAAAAAAATTGATTTTGCTTCCAGGATTTTTTTTAAATCAGATTATGTCAATTCTACCTTTAAATTTTCAGGAACTTTTCTTCCAAGTTCTGGATATTAACTAGAACTGCACAAACATCCCCAAAGGCTTTTATAGTTCCAAATAACTGCATAGTTCTTAAGCAATTAAGCTAGTTGCTTACCATGTCTTTCACAATTTAGGAAAACAAGTATAATCTTAAGAAAGCTTCTTAACTGAATGAATTTGCACTTTGGTAGGGGTCCTTCAGTAAGGCAACCTTTATGCCCTTTTATGTATACAAAGTTGTTCATCTAGAAGCCTCTGGAAACAGTACAAATAATTCTGCCTAAGAATTTTATTCCTAGTGAGAAATTTTACCACAATTGGTAAAAATAAGTTTTGAAATTCCATGCCTTTTAAATTTGTACCTTGAACAACCTGTACCAAAAAGTCTTAAAATAAAAATGTATTCCTGTTTAATAAAGTTCAGCTACAATTACCCCAGAACTTGGATGATATGATCAGACCCCCCCTTCTTTTTTGCAATTCTTCAGTTGTTATGTAAAACCACTCCTCTTTAAACATGTAAATTTTAATATGAAAATAAGGCCTAATGAAAATCTGATTCTTAAATTAAAATGGAATATTTACAACGATCACTCTTAGTCCTCTGAATATTAATCAATGCCTGAAATATATACACTGTTGTCTTTTCATATTATTTACAGTTACTTTGTATCTGTATGCAATGGCTTCTTCACACATTGCTATGGGAATACTGCATAAACAAATTGCCTGCACTGATTTTCATTGTGAGACATCATTAGCAGCAAACCACCTTCTTTTAAACGGCCATGGCATAATACCAGGTAAAGCTCCATTTGGGATTAAAGCTTTCAGTCTTTATTTATTTATTTATTTATTTATTTTTTAATAAACAAACTTTATTGATTTTTTTCCCCCAAAAAATAAACAAACATACAATTATGGCATAATTCAATAATACAATTAATAACAAAAACAAACTAAAAAAAACCTCCCATTCTAAGATGCTCAGTCGCCTCACAGGAACACATTCCCTCTCTTCAACCTACTTCCCTCCTACCTTCTACCTGCTTCCCTCCTCTCCACCTTCTCAACCACTCTACTCTACACATCCCCCCTCCTTCCCTCCTCCTCTTCCAAATGTGGTCCTGTAGGTCAATCGAGCCTCCATTCTTATACTAAAAAACCTCCTATTCTAGAATGCTCAACAGCCT